ATGCAGTATTGTTTCCAAAGCGTGAAAGGTTGTGTGGTGTGTAAGACTTGTACTTTAGAGGATCGCCCACTGTTCAACATGTAGAGAAAGTTAAAACAGTATATGAGCAAGGAGATGGAGTGCTGAAGGGAGGATGATGCATGAAGAGTTGAAAATGGGTGTAAGAAATAGAGTTTTCTTCAATGAAATTCCCTGCAGGTCAGCTTGACTAATGTCCATGGTAAGGAATGAGCAAACGGAGCTAGGGGTGGAGTGTTGGAGACAGGTTGAAGCTTGTGATGAGCTAGGAATGGGTGTAAGAAGGTGATTGTCATTGTCATAGATGAGCGCATTGACAGTTTTCTATAGCTGAGGTGGAATTCCATGTAAATCGGCTTACTACTTGTACATACACAGCATTTTATGCGCTTATGAATAGAAATTAGCCACATTATTGTGCACAGCCCCTAAACAAAGACTAACCTCATCCACTCAAAGTTTTAAAAGCTTTGTGAACAGCTTAAATGGCACAGTTGCTAAAGTACTCGTGGATAACATGAGCCACCTTAGGGGAAGAAGCCAGCATTTAAAAGCAGCCCTGAGTGAAAATTTATGATGGAAGAACTATTATCATTGTATTATACCACCAACAACAACAAAGTTACATTTGTATAGCGCCTTTCACGGCGGGAGGACATCCCAAGGCACTGACTACACTGGTCTATTATATTCGCAATATTAACAGAAATGTTAACTGCAGTGACTTAAACAGTGTTATGAACCAGTCAATCTTAGCTGGGTAAATGTCAATGATTCTGCAATGTCAGTTTGACAGTTCTGTAGTTTGAAATCATGGGAACTGTGACTCATGTGAGGAAATGACAATTATTCTACTCTTTCAAAAGGCTGTCAAAGTACATCAGAATATTATCCTTTGATCACTAGGGAATGCATTTAAGCTTAGCTCAAACCAATGGGAAGAAATCTCTCTTTTTGATAGTTGAGAAAGGAATGGTATACTTCAATGTATATCAAATACATTTGAGCTTTCTACGAAGTTCGAGTAATTGGCTTTCTTTAAAGCACAAAATTGGTCCAGTGAACCAAAGTTTGTTTTGAAACTAGAATTGAATCAAAGTGGTCAGATAGTTTAATTTGCCAAAAGCTTGAAAAGTGAACAAATTCAGACGCTTAAAGAGGCAGAAGGCTCCTATTTGAGTACTAAGTAAAAGCATGTATTGGCATTGAAACTACACCACACAGACCAGAAGGCACACCCTGTGGTTTAATTCCTTTTTTAACTTCATGATCTAAGGTTGTTTTGCTGCTTATTTTCTTTTCTTTTTTGTTGAATGTCACTGTGGTCACTTTGTTGGAGGTGGTGGTGGCGGACTTCCCCATTCATGTAGCGTTTTCTTTCTAAAGAAAATTCCTTTTTATATCGCAAGACTTTTCCTCCAAAGGAATTCAACTGGAGGACTTGGAGAGAGAGGTGAGAGGCCTCAATCTCGTTCCATCTAGCGTTTTGATTTGATGGATTCTAAAAATAGTTTCCTCTATTTATTTCAAAAACAGGCTTGCTGATCATTCCCCATTATATATATTTTAATGCCTACGAATGCAATGCTCTTTCTAAATAACTTCAAATAAAGCTTCAGTTAATTAGATGACTTCATTTTTATTGTAATAAAATGTAATAATCCTTACATTTGATATAGCACCTTTCAGATTGGAAGGACATCTCAAAGCACTTCACAATATATTTTGTAAAGTGTAATGACTATGTATTTTGTGGGTGAATGCAGTAGCCTAATGCAGTAATGTCTCTCAAACAACCATGAAAAAAAAAGACCCAATTTTATTCATCGCAAAGAAACTGTTTGGCTATCTGGTTGTGCAACCACAAAAAACATTATTTGTAAAATGTTAATTTGGCACTCCCGATAATTTAGAAGCCTTTTTTTGTTTTGATTTTAGATTATATCTGATTGCTAAACCTCATCTTTTTTAAAAAAAAGTAATGGAATACAAGTAAACTGACCAATACTTTTCATTCCCAATGTTGAGCATCGCTGAGCAGCCAGAAGCAGTAGTAGTTTTTTTCTGTACTATTCTTAAATCAAATAAATCTTGCTTTTATACATAAACTGTCCCTTAGTTTATGTGAATTCCTCCTATTAAATTCTTAGAAACCTTGTGGATTCGAAATTCTGCAGTTTTCTGAATGGTTGAATTAAGAGGACCCTGTGTTCCCATTTGATCTCATCCTTTCAAATATTCAAATCGTACAGCTCTCCCGTTACAGCATCAAGCTGTTTTGTAAATTAATCCAGTGTCCCAACCTGTTCCAGTTGTTAAGTGGGTAAACAAATACTTCCTGATGTCCGTCCTGAAATTGCCCCTTGCTACCCTGCACCTGTACCGTGTTCTTCTGCCTTGCAGTATTTGAATGTATTGTTCCGGGTTTACTTTCTCAATCTCATTTATAACCTTTAAATTCTCAAGTGTGGGGTAGCGGGAATTTGCCTTCAGCAGACTCAAAGACCAGTCGGTGTTAAATAATGCAAGGTCGCTGAATTGTTTGCAGGTTGACAACAGCAACAGTTACCCCATAATTTCAAAGTTGTTAGCCCTACAATTGGTGAGTAAATCTGAGTCAATTGTAAAATTTTAGAAAGGGACTTGGACAAACATGTAAAAAGCATAGGGGAAAGAGATGGGATTAGAGTAAATTGCTTCGTTGGGGAAGCTAGCACCAGTACAAACACAGGCATAATGAGCCGAATGACCTCCTATTACTGAAACCTCTGGTTCTATTTTTAGTATCTAACCACTTATCATTGGCGCCTGAAGCCTTCTGTATTTTGGCTTTTGTATTTGAAACAGAGTACCTTATTTGTCCGTGCTTGGATTAGCATGGCTGTGTATACTCTCTAGATAATGTAGAGTATTTAGTGCCTGTTTCTGAACTGTAAGGTTTTTTAAAAAAAGCAAGGACTCTACAGAACTGCTGAGTACATAGAGAGCCACAAAAATTTAAAGGACGTGAATAATTATTACTGACGGTGCTTCATTCTATGAATGAATATTTCTCCCCAAACGTACTGCCTATCCTCAGTCACAGCACTTGCTGCTTCCAGTTAACTGAATGTGCAGACTGACTGGGCTGGAGTCAGGATCTAGAAAATAGAATTTTATTTTCCTACTTGCTTATGATGGTGAAAAATCTCTTCATATTAGAAGCTCATTTAAAAAAAATACAATTGTGGTAGAAGTATGAAAGCAGCCAGACTGCGGTGGGATATATTTTATATGTTATACTCTAGCTGTAGGCTACATATTCTTGGGTTGAAATTCTACTCAGCTTCGCATGTAACTCCTTTAGCAATGTCAGCTGTTGATGGGATTTCCCTCCATTAGAATTGAACATTGACAAATGTAGGAAGGATGTTAAGGCATTGGAAAGGGTGCAGAGGAGATTTACGAGGATGGTACCAGGAATGAGGGACCTTGATTATGGGGAAAGGCCAGAGAGGCTGGGATTATTCTCATTGGAGCAGAGAAGGTTACGAGGAGACCTAATAGAGGTCTTTAAAATCATGATGGGATTTGATAGGTTAGAAAGGGGAAAACTGTTTCCATTGGTGGGTGTGTCAGTGACTCAAGGTCACAGATTCAAAATAGTTTCTAAAAGAAGCAGAGGGGAGGTGAGAAGAAATTTTTTCACGCAGTGAGTTGTTCGAATCTGGAACGCATTGCCTGAAAGGGTGGTCGAGGCCGATTCGATAACTACTTTTAAAAACGCAGTGGACGGGTATTTGAGGAGGAGGGTTTGCAGGGTTATGGGGAAAGGGCTGGGGAGTGGGATTGACATTACATTGCTCTTTTCAAAGAGCCGACACAGACTCGATGGGCCGAATGGCCTCTTTTTGTGCTGTAAAATTCTATGATTCTATTTTGTATTGTAAGCCTTCCATTTGTTATTGCGCTTTTCACGATGGGGTAAAATGGCTCAAAGCAATTTGCAGGCTTTACTGTGAAGAGGAGTGATTAAGTGACTGTGTATTTTGTAAGCAAACACAGCAGCCAATTTATGCACAAACAGCAATGTAGCAAATGACTGACTAATTTGGAGGACTATTGGCCAAGACACCAGGAAAAATTCCCTTCTCTTTTCGAGTAGTCCCATGGGATCTTTAATGTCCACTGAACAGGGAGATGGGACCTCGGTTTACATCTTGACTGAAGGATGGTACCTCCAACGATGCACCCCCCACTCCACTCCCCAAGCATTGCACTGGAGTGTGTCAGCCTGTCCTACACCTATGAGCTCAAGGTCTTGATGTGGCACTTCAACCCATGACCTTCTGTCGCAAAGACGAGAGCAGCTGAGCCAGGCTGATGCCATTCAAATCAACATGCTCAATATTACTGAGGTTCTGCATCATATTCTACATTTGTTGTGTGCAGGAGAAGATACAATTTAATGCTTGTTAGACACGAATAATGAATGATTAAAATGACCTCCTGTGTCGTATCATTTTGCCCACAAAGTATAGAGTCACTGCACCTTACAGTATATTCTGTAAAGGGCTTTGAGACGTTTCAAAGACGTGATAAAGCGCTATAACAAAGGCAAGGATTATTATTATTATTATTCTACAATGTCAACCATCCATCTGCCTTCATCGCAAGCAACTTACTACCGAGGTGCAAGTATCTCACCAAAACCAAAGTAAAACAAGCTGCGTGAACACCGAATGTAAATGACCATCCCTGTGAAGTGCTCTGAGACTATGTCCTATGTGAAGTTTACTATATAATTGCAAATAGATTGATGTAAGAGTTCGATGCATTTTATATGTCTGTTAAACCCTTCCTTCTATAATGTAAACCTTGACACTGCAAGCTGGGTGTGTTTCTCTACTTCCAGCAGCCCGACCGACTCGAAAGGCGCTATCAGTACAATTTGTTGTTGTTCTTAAAAAGTCTTTTTAAATAAATAAGGATTTGTATTCCAGGGGCAAATCTTGCAGGACCATTACCTTTGATCAATTTAAGGAAGGCCTTGAAGAGCTCGCACTGAAGAGATTTAAAGGCAAGGCTGATGAGGAAGCTGCCCAACAATTGTACAAGTTAATTGAAGGAAAATACCCGATCATTTCTGGTGTCACGGTACGTCCAAAAGTTTTTTTCTTATTAGAGCTAAGTATCCATTTTCTGTTACATATTTTAGTAGGGAATATTGCACGATTTGAAAGTTAAACAGGGAAGCCTTAGATAATTGTATTAACAGAATGCATTATCACAGATTGCTCACTCAAATAGCAGATGCTGATGTATCAGAGGTATGTGTTTCTGTCTTTCTATAGTTTGGTAAACAATGTAGAATGTCACAGTAATTGTTTAATTCCAATACTACGGAGTGTTCTTCAAACAACATGAAAAGAACACGTTGGGGTGCAATGGATTTAGTCAGTCTCTTTTTTAAGATGAATGTTCAAAGCATCATAGAAACTTACAGCGCAGTTTAACATTGCTCTTCATTGTTGTTGTGTAGATGATTCAGAGAAATGTACGTTTCCACGTGTGTAGAAGGATATACAATAATCTGTGCTCCTTTGCAAAGATGACCTGATCTTCAATACCCTTGTGCAAGCTTTCTACTGCCTACGTGGTCGGTACGAGTCTAACTTGGGGAGATCCTCCTCTACGTGTGTGTGTGTGTGTGTGTCTGCTTGCATATATGCAGCTTCTAATCCAGTCAAACCTGGACGAGCATATCAGAGAGTGTCAATCAGGCAGACAAGTTCAGCTGTTTGAATAAGTTTGGTGTTTCACCTCCTGCTCGCACACCTCATTCACACTCAACTCTCGTTCTTAAATTGTGCTTTGTGGAGCACATTGAAACCTCCTGGTTACACCACTGTGTCTGTTTTGTATGATAATTATACAGCCCAGCAACCAATTTATTGATGAAAGCAGTTAAACTAAAATAGTGACTCTTACTGCTTTAGGGCACAAAGCATTTTGAAGTGAAGGCTTGCTTAAGATGAACATGGAGAGGCTGACTGCCACACCTGCTTGTTAACTGCAATTTAACATTAAGTAGTTTACACTAGGGCAACAGTCAGAACAATACAGTAAACATTGCATAATTCTTATCTTTATCAATTGTATAATCGCCTAAGTCGTACATGCACCCGAGTCCCGTTCAGTTTCCATTTAAATTTCTTTGCACTACCTGTTAATCATCTCCTAGCTCGCTCCCCTGTCCTCCATTACACCCCCACTTACCGGCTGCATTGAATCGTGGAAAATTATGTCCTGACCTGTTGCCGAGTGTGCACTTACCGGCCGGCTGCATTGAATCGCAGGAAACATAGTCTTGATGCATCGACGCATGTGCAGAAGAACTTAATTTCCCCGCATTTCACTGAGATTCCAATGCTTGCCGGCAAGTGTGCATATGGCAATGGGTCAAGATGCATTGCATCAGGGGAAACATAGACTTGACTCGTCAACGCATTTGCAGTTACCGGCTGCACTGAATTAAGCAGGCGCAGTGCAGATTATTGATTAAATTAGATTTTATTAGACTTGTACAAGTCTGCCTGCAACTCAGACTTTGTAAGTCATATTAAATCTTATGGTCCCAATTGATACAACTTGTGTGAGTTTTACTGTACTGCTTTGCTCACAGAGCTCAACTGTGAGATGCCAGGCATTTCTATGAGAAAATAAAACTCTGAAGATCGGCTGAGGGTGTAAGATTCTATTTTAATATCAGAAAACCTTTTCTTAAGTACGATATTCACGTTATTTCTTTCTCTGCAGAAAGCAGTGCTGTCTCCCACAGTGTCGCGGCTTACAGACACCTCAAAATTTACCGGCTCTCACAAGGAAAGGTTTGATCAAAGCGGAAGAGGCAAAGGAAAAGCGGGCAGAGAATATCTGGTGGACAAGACCGGCTACGTAGCTGGGTATAAACACGCTGGCACGTACGACCAGAAAGTGAAAGGAACTAAGCACGAATAAACTCTTATTAAACAAGAGAATTCACCAGCTTATCCATGTCAATGCAATCCATTCCTAAGGAAACCTCCGATTAAAAGAAACTAAAGACCCAATATTTTTTCATTTCAATGTATTTCCAGTCTGTTAAAAAAGCCTTAGTATTTTGTTTTAAAGAATTGTTGCATTGAAGAGACTGATGCTACTGGTAGAGGGTAACTGCTATGCTCAGCACAACCTAAACTCAATTTCCCCTTTTGCCTTCCCTCTTCACTCTCCAGTCTCTTGTATCATTGATGAAATGAATGATTGGCAATGGTTAATGACTTGTTCATGTCCTTGGCTGGTGATGGACTCCCATATTGGATATTAATACTTTACAGATATGTCATGATCAGTGAGCCTGCCAGGAGATAATAAATGATGCTCCTTGTTCATTAAGGAGAGAAATGGAGGTGGTTCATTCTGAAACACTGTGGTGCGAAATCACCATGTCTTATTGTCTAGCAATGTACCTGCTGCATTGATTCCATGAAAGTGAGTTAGTTACTCAGGAGATCGCTCCATCTTTGCAGAGTAAGGATGATTTGCTGAGGAAAGGCCGTAGTATTTTGGAAATGGTAAAGGACCATGAAAGCATCCTGTGGGAGTGGGGCTCTGATCAAAAGCCTGAGTGGAAAAGAAAAGGCAGGTTTTCAAAGGATTCCTGGAGGGAGCATGACTGAAAGCATCCCTGGCTGGAAACTGCTCTGCACACTGATTTGATCCAAAGCCAAAAGTTGTTCAATGCGAATTGGACAAGGATGTTCAGCCAAACTTTCCCAAAGAATGTTGTCCCCTCAAAATGGGGTGAAGGAAGCATCGGCCAATTGCAGTGACCACCGGCTGTGGGTATTCCATGAATGGGACCCAGAAATGTAAACACCACTGGTTGTTGGGGAAAATCTGAACTTGCTTGTAGTTCCTGACTGACAACAAGCAGCACTATCAACTGGCTTAGAACAGGAGAATCTCACAAAAGTAACACAGACCGAGAAGCTTTTTTTCTTCAGTGAAGAAAAAAACAGTTACCTATAGATGCCTGTACTGATGAATTGGGCCATTTGTAGTTATTGATTTTAGAGGTTTGGTATTGTTGTGGGAATGAGATAATGTGAGGAATACGGCAAAGATTTGCAGTACTGTTGGGGCAGATGTCCAAGATGAAGCCGGTGCATGCCTTTGTACAGCTCATCTTGTGCCTCGGAAAAGGGAATATCATTCCTACTAATGTCCTGCCAGGATTTCTCCCCTGCTTTCCTGAAAACATTTCAATCCTTTGTCTTCCTGGGGAATGGTTTCATGAGTACCAGCCAGCCAAGTGGCTGTTGTATGTGAATTCATATGTGAACGTTGACAAGATTCTAGGACTTTGGTGAAGGCATCACTGCCGAGGGCTACCCTATCTTCAGCCAATCCATACATGCGCATGGTCTCTAGATAGTAATGGGGAGCGGGAACACAGTTTATTTATTTCTATTGCAAGTTTTCTAAGGCCAATTGTATGTTCCTGACTAAAATTAGCTAACTGAGCACAAACTGGGATTTGAAATGCACAGGCTCTGGTTTGTATGGCTCAATGCCTTTACCCACCGAAGAAGATGAGAATTGACCAGTTTGTAACATCACTGCATGAAATAAAATAGTGAATCATGGGTGTATATAATACAAGGATTATTATTATATAATACTGTCTTAAGAAGCCTGACTGTTCATTGTACTTCCAAACTATTGATGCCTTGTTCTGTAGGTTCAGAAATAAAATGCAAAATCCTGCCAATTTGTAGTTATTCTTCTCCCCGCCAATGATTTGGTTATAGGTATAGTTTAAAACTAGAATAGGGTGGAATCCATAGAACAGTTGTCCTGAATTCTAATGGTGTTAAAAAAGATCTGACATAATGTGGATCAGCACTCATCAAGATGATTCTCTCAGATGAAATAACCCGTATTACATCCATTGTGTGCATGATAGCTATGGACCTCATTCTCTGTTGTTACAATAATAGCCCTTCTCTCTCCCTCACTCACCTCCCCCACCCCCACCCTCCTCCAAATTAACACATTGAATCTGGCAAATACTGACCTTTGCATTTGACATACTGCCATCATTCTATTCCACTTTAACTGAATTTGAGCAGATTCGCTCTCTCTCCTTGAGTGAGAGATACTTTACTTTGTTTTGTATCTTGGGGGCTATTTGAAAGATTCCTTCTGCACACTTAGGAAGATTGTTTCCTAAAGGGCTACTACTGTTATAACTAATTAAAGCTTCATCTGAGCTACGCATACAATCTCTAACTTGTAAATGAGGTACATAGTGGTGTAACATATGATGGTTTGGGTTAGTATTGTTTTTAAGAAGAGACCTGCAAAGAAAATGTGGCAATACAAGAGGTTCAATGTTTTCTACAACTTAAATGATCAATTACATCAGATCAGTTATTGTTCAACGCACAACCTTCTCGTAATTGAAGAGAAATGGGACAAAGCAATTTCAAGAGCTAGAATAGCTTGACTTTTTATAATGTGATCCAAAATATTCCCTGTTCCATCACAGAAAATGACAAAGGGACACACACTTTGTCCACCCTTTCCAAGATTGTGGTTTTCTAGCAGAAATCCTACACCGATTTGATCTTCATATGTTTAGAGCATCTGTTTAAAGATAAATTGAGACATTTACTGCTCAAAATGTACCAAACATTTGTTTTCATCGTTTTCATCTTTTATTGGGAAGGAGGGATGGTTTAAATTGTAATCTTGTCCACAACTACTGTTGTGGATAAAACTCAATCCTTTGGTAAAAGTGGTAATGTTATTTCTTGCCTCGGCAAGACAAACTGCTTGGTGATGTCAGCTTTTCTCTGCAGGAAATCGTCCCAAATGGCAATATCTCCAGGGTGACAGGTCAGAGCTGAAGCCTTGCGGGTCACTGTGACATACAGAGTTTCCTTTCAGAAGATACAGATTAGGGCCAGCTTCCAGTAAGGATGCTGCTTTAATAATTGCTCCAATATCTACAATAGGACCCAAACCGGTGGAGCAAGAGCAGGTTTATCCTATATCTGGAGCAGATGGAGTACTTTGCTTGAACTGAGGCAGGTAATAGACAAATAGACGACTATGTGGGACGATTCTTACTATGCGATTCCTTTGCCAATGATTATCATTTCAATTCCCCCCAATACTACCAGAGAAGAATATTCAGAGCACAGAAGAAAAATGAAACAAAATAGAAAAATTATAGCTTTGTGGTATGTTGCCATATTGGAAAAGCCCAAACTGTAAATTTTACACGTGAGCTGTTAGGCCAGTCTACAAATTGTATCTTAATATTGTAAAATAACTGATCTAAGAAAGAATGTATACACATGATGTATTCATGTTGATTTCAAATTGTAATATTGCACTGTAAAAGATTAATGTCAATGCTGGATTTAGCATAAAATAGTAGTAAGTTATGAATTGTAGCATATTCTAAAATGCATGATTACACTGCCTTGTCTTGTTAGCCTTTCACTCAAGACTGAATTTGTTCAGAAAGATCTAGACCATTTCCATTATAGTACTTTACAATAAGTTCATCTTATTTAATTTGCTAATTGCTGCTGCTTTTTTTTTCTCATTCAAATGTATGACTTTTCTGTCCTGTGGTTGAAGTTCCAAGATCTGACATTGCTGAATTTTGGCAGCTTTTGTAAGTCAATTCAATGTCCACAACTAGTGAAGTCTATTCTACTGTACCAGATTCAAGCTGTAGTAGTAGTTGGGAACAAGCAATCCGGTTATGACTAAGGCTGTAGGAAAATCACTACCTTCTTACGCCTCAGTTAGGACTAATTTTCTTACAAAGTTTGATCTATAATTTTAAAAAATGGACAGATCCTAATGCATATCAACCATATTCTAACTTAACCATCTATGAATGGACTCATTACTCCACTGAACTGGTTCTGGTCTGAAGTAGGTAGCCTCTAGTTTAATGTAAAAAGAGGCAAAAGTATTTTACCAATTAGTTATATTCACTAATGTTGCAATGTAATTCAAATGGGCTGAAGTCCAGAGGTTTAGAAATGTTAATCAGTGACTGAAGATTCATACATTTATGATACTTGACTGGGAGCTTTGATTGTACCTCTTTTAGGGGATTTTATGTAGTACAGCAGATAAGGCAGGATCATGTTGTAATTACTAAACGTTATGCAAGAAATGGGGGTTAAATAACATTCTATGTTGTGCCAAAATAACAACCAATGTTTATCGTTTAAAAAACATTGCTCTGTCATTATCATGAGTGTATCTTGTATTTACAACACCTCTGCTTCCCCTTAGTTTTACGGCAGTAGACATTTTCAATGTCACTTAGAACAAACTAGACAGTTTGCTAAGCAATGTAAACTCTCTTTGCATCACTAATAAATGGAGTATCCAATGGCATTTTACCAGATGGTATTGCTCGAGCTTATGGTCAGTGATCCAGTATGTTGTGTAAAGTATAGTTTCTCATTCAGTTCAGTGTGCAGTTTGCATGTCTATCTTTTAATTCCTCAGATCACTTCAACTTCCCCTGAGTGAATTCAGTTACAAATCTCATGCAGTCATTCTGACCACAGATGAACAGATTCAGTAAATAGAGAGATAAAACACCATTCATTTGGGCAAAATACTCCAATAATGTTATTTGCTGCATACTTTGGGTTGATTCTCCTCTTGTAGAGCTCAAACCTGTGTTTGTTGGATGTCAAGTAACCAACTAGTGACTATCCTCCTTTGAGGGGAGGTGACACATTAGTAGAACTTGGAGCGGCAGACCAGTCATGGGAGCAGGGATTCTTCTCAGTCAGCTCCTGTTATTCCTGCAAGCTGGAGCTCAAATGAGTTGGATGGTCCTAGCCGGACAAGCCGCGGGAAACTTGCCAACCAACATTTTAAAAGATAAGCTAAGCCAATATGTATTCCACAAGCTTGGTGAATCCGCTGACCAGCGGAGAATCTCATCTGCTGCCAAAATTAGTGACTTTACTGACCAGTTCAAAATGCCCCCTGTTATTGATTATACTCTGGTTTGGCCTCTTGCCTGGAGAACTTCTGTTAACACAATCGATGAAAACCTAAGGCTCGAGTCAGAACAGATTTGTGTTTATTTCTGTTCTAATGTTGTGTGTCACTGACCAAGGGAGTAAAAGCTACAGGGTCACTTGCTTTTATTCACTGTTCTCTGCCTTCATTTTATTTTTTAACCCTGCCCCCACTGAGACCGTGACAACAGCAATGTTGGCAGAATAATGGTTGGAAAAGTTTTATACTGGATTGTGCTGAACAGCAGTTTTATTCGTACCAACTGCACTGTTAACTATCTACTGGTAATTCACTCTCTGGTTATAAAAAGTCAAGTTTGCATCAAAATGCAGCTCTTATGAGGCCTGTTCAGATAACATAGAAATTTATGATCCATCTCTCTCCAGATAGTAATGTTTATCGATTGCTACCATAGTGCTAAGTGTATCTTAAAATGACCTAGATTACCAGGTGTGGGGAAAATATGGATTAAGTGCTAGAGTTCAAATGTGTAAAATAATGATCCTAACATCCCACTGAAGTACTAGTGCCTTCTCAACTATTTGTAATCTGGTTAACAATCACTGAGGCAAACCATTTGCTTTGAAGTTGGAATTGCAGTGGTGGTATTGTATATTCATTCCGTCCTTTAGCTGTTGGTAACTGAAAATGTATAGGTGCTGAATTACCTTGTCCAATAAAAATCAATTGAAGCCTTAAGAGAATGTGTTGTATATATCTTTACTCAAATTATTGAAATTCTACTCTGTGAAATTAGTGGATATCATTACATAATACATGTAATATTACATAATATATGTAATATATTATTTCAGGCAGGGTGAAATGTTGGGCAAGTTTCCTTACTTCACACACCTGTTTAACCTAGCAGTAAGTAGGAACTTAGTTGATTGGCGGATCGCCTTTCTGGGGGTAATAATTCCTTCAAAAAGTAATAATAAATGGGTCACTTCAATCCACGATGGTTTGTGGGACACTGCTGTCATGTTTCGCCCACAAAATATAGTCAATTCACTTTACAGTATATTCTGTGAAGTGCTTTGAGATGTCTTGAAGATGTGATAAGGCGCTGTATCAAATGCAAAGATTATTATAACCCTTGTGTGGATCAACATCTCAAAGCACTTCAGTTTCCAAAAAAAGTAGTGTAGTGATTGTATTCATAGGGGAATGTGCCAGCCAATTTGCATAATGTCACACACACTGGGAGAAACTCCTTTTCTCAAATTGTACCGTGGGATGTTTCATGTCTCCCTGCCCAGCCAGGCAGGACATTGGTTCAACATCTCATTCCAATGGACTGCATCTCCCTCCAACAACTCAGGGTTTCTCCAGCATTGCATTTGAAGTGTCAACCTGGACTATGAGCTCAATATTAATAATAATAATAATAAAAATGATAATAATCCCTCAAGAAAAAATAACTTGATCACTTGGTAATTTGTGGGACACTGCTGTGTGCAATTGGCTGCCTTTTTTCGCCCACAAAATATACAGTCAATTCACTTTAGTTTATTCTGTGAAGCGCTTTGAGATGTTTATAAGATGTGAAAAGCGCTATATCAAATGCAACGATTATTATTATTATAATGTCCTGATGTGGGGCCACAATGTTTCTGACAAGACAAGAGTGCTACCTGCCTGACCATTAATTTAATTAAGTAAATAATAAGGTGGAAAATTTAAAACCAACAAATTACCTTGCCACAAACCACTGGGCCAAGTTGCTGCAGGTGAATTCTTCAATACCAACAGGTTAAAGTGGTACAAAATGTATTTAATGGGAAAGTGAAAGTGCTGAGGGAACATTACAGCATTCATGTTTATCTATCGCTATTTATGATGAACACTGTTTTTTTTGGAATAGAGGACCCAGATATAAATCAGCTTTTGATTCCCTAGAATTCACAAACATTATAACCGTTTCTAATTGAAAATTGCATTTTCAGGGCGTGAGGCCAAGTGAGAGCTTGGAGTTTTTCCAAATGAGAAGAGAAAATGCAAGGTCCAATTACTGTGCCCTGCTATCCCAGCAGCTGTCTATACATTATTATAGCTTAGGAGCAAGTCTCCAGCTTTTGTTATCAGCAGAGTTAACAAAAGTTTAACATGATACAGAACAGGGATTTAAAGAACAAATGAAAAGAAACAAGTTCTAAAATTATTTTTTCTAACAAAATACCTATAGATTGTGGGATAAAATAGGAAGTTTGATAACAAACTCACACCTAATTGAATTGTATTTTAGGGTGAGTCTAAGATGTTGTGGTTACGATTTGCTGCTTATTGTACTCCCAATAATATTTCATCTCTGCTGTCAAATGTCAACTGGAGCCAAAAGCAATCCTAGAAATGCAAGCTCTTTTTTTTGCCATGGTTTACGTTTTGTTCTGTTTGGACTAGAGAAAAAATGATTAAACAGGATGTGGTACGAAGGTTTCCAAGCCCGCTGGATTTACCATCCATTTGTAGAAATCTAGGTACAACTGTACTTCATGTATGTATGAATTGGGTATTTGTAAAGTACTGATTATTTTCTAGCACTTACACAAAACTTTAATTTTCAAGTAAAGTCTTAACTTGAAACTAATTTCTACCACAAGCCGTTGTTGAATACAATTTTAATAGTTTATTAGTACTCTTTTTTTAATGGTCTCACATTTTGTAATCTTATCTTCAATTGCCAGTTGATTGAACGACATAATTTGTGCCCTGGTTGCTTTTAAAAGGGGAAGAAATGGTAAAGGAAATAAGGGCTGCAAAGTGTCACCAAAACAAAGCTGTGTGCAGATCTGAGATGAATATGATTAGTTGTACTGACATTTTGAATCACTGGTTCACAGTGCAGGACTTTCCCTGAACTGGCAGCAAAGCAAAATGACTGACTAATTCCGAAAATAAAGTGTCAGTTAACCAGATAAATACCACTGCTAAGTAAGCTTTAAGCAAACATTTAATTAAAAAGTACAAATTACACCAAAAGGCAATAGTTACACAAAATACACAGAAGTTTTACAAAAATCAATAAATAGTCCTAAAGGTATAAATATTATTGTGATCAAGATCAGTCTATCATTATATAGACCACCATTCACTCTCCCCCATCTTCAGGACGATGGTTGGGTCTGAAGCAGCCACTGGCCCACATTTCATTCAGCCCGAGTTCACGGTACCAGCTTTAACTCCGTTTTATTGCAATTATCAACTGGCTCAAAGACAATTTTCGATGATGTAAGAGTAATTGACTGGCTCACTCAATTTCACCAGTCATAATTATCACATCACCAAAATATCATTGGAGTCGTATTTAGGCTAAGGCACTTCTTGTATGAGGGTGGATACACTTTTTTGTGTTCAAATGATATTTTCAATTTTAAAAATATCACTACATAAAGATGACCATGAAGTTGTTTTAAGCAGCGCTACTATGGAAGCTGACTGATCGATGCCTGTTCCAAATTCACTTTCCCGAAGATCGATGTGGAAGGGTAGAGTGTGGTTCCACAGGTTTTAGCCACCTTTCAATACCTCACTTTAAGAGCCTATTCTTTATGTGAGTCTAAACAGTGCAGCTGTTTTGACTACACAGGAGTGACGCATCGCAAATTTACATTGCAATTGACACACATCTGCTTTGCAAGGATGTTGAAATTCAAACTTCTGAAAATACTGCCACTTCTTGGAAATCTGACTTCACGGGCACAGGTAGAGGCTGAGCAGGGGGAGTTGTTGAGTGCTATGAGATTAGTGCTCAAGTTTGAGGATGTGAGCAGAGGGAAATGAGAGACAAATCATCTTGAAGCTTATATCAGACTGCTGGTAATCGGAGAAATTGTGGTAGATAGCAGGGAATACATAGTGAAAAGAAAATGAATAGAGAGAAGCCTAAAAAGCATTGCTACAATTTAGCAGTAGGATGTTTTGCATTGGGACGTATGAACAACTTGGGAGGAAAGATAAGTCTGTTACGTTTAAACATCCCTGAATGTAAAGTTCCACTCATAGATTGTAACTGCATTAATCCATAGACCAGTCGCAAACTTGTCTTTCTGTTATGGGAACAGGCTATTATAACAGTCAAGGTACATTTATATATCTTAATGGTCAAACATCCAGTCAGGGAAGTTTCATCCAAACCTAGAAAGAGTTAATCTCCTAATTGTGATTCAACATGTTAAAGCTGCTTAAAGAGGCTTTTAAAGTACAATTTCCTTGAAACTGGAATTTGCATTGTACAGAACTCGCACATTATTTTCATAATATTAAAAAACATTGCATAGACTGCAGACACAGCTTTGATAACAAGTGCTAGATCAACACCACCACATTATCATAAATCAATGTATAATCAAAACAGTACTTAGCCAGGTGGAAACTTGTTGAAAATGTGGCGTATAATTTTTCATATAGTGTATAAAGTTGCATATAATCCTAGACTAGATGCACATAAGTTGCACAGCACCTGCTTAACAACAATGACTCAAGATTTGGCAGGGCCTCCGGGCTCCTTGAAGGTTTTTCTGTGGGAGATATCACACCTAAGCCAATATGAGTGATTCATTTTCAATAAGTTTCAGTTCCTGTCCTTCATTTATGCAACACGAGAATAAGTTTGAAACAGCACTGAAAATGGAATATAATCTTGTTCATTCTAAGTGATCATGAAGCAGTTTGCATTTCAAAGCACTCTAAAGACAGAGGTGGTTAGACTCAAAGCGAATCTTTTCACCTGTCAGCTTTTCACTCACTGCCCCATGTACTGCATTTCAAATGAAAGTTAAGTTGCACTTGTTAGCTTGGGAAGCAGTCTCGGGAAACTTCGGGAAATCTTTTTTTGAACGTGGTACTTGTGTGCATCAGAATCCCAATACATTTATGTTACGAAGGCAGACCTGCACATGCTTGTGATCCTGGGAAACAGTGCAACAGTGCTCGGCATGAGGGAATAGTAAACGTGCAGGCCATCTGGTCAACACAATCTCAGGCTAGAAACGAGAATGCGTTGCATCCTGCAATATAAATGGATCATAACATAGCTTTGTTTTTACTCAAGGAATTGCAACATAGCACCAAGTTACACAAACTTGAAGAGGAGAGGAGTGAGAGATTGGCAGCTAGATTGTTCCTATCACTCAGTTTGCTCAATGCTGAACAAGTTGTTAGTGACAAGTGAACCAGAGGTCTGTGACATTCACTTCTAGCCTCATTTCTGGACTGGTTGAGCAATACTAAGGTCCACTGAAATGGATAAATCTCGACTTAAAAATAACACATTCTTAAATGATATTGTAGCAGTTCAATTCTTTGCAGTCATTTTCTTAAAGGAGAAAAATAATTGGGGGAAATCCCTTTCATATTAAACACTCCCCTATATTCAGTACTCGCCATATTCCATACTTCTCACGTATGGCTCTCATGTATTTTCCTCGTGCTACCTATTCCTTAACCGAGATTACCTCTCTCAAGCCACAACTAACGTTCAACAATAACACCACCAAATTCAAGTCTCAACACAGCCAAGTTGTACAGATCAAGAAGGAACACACCTTGGTCTTAGTTAGTTGATCTAAGTCAGGGCTGCACTATGACCACAATTATCAGTCTCAGTGCCCCGAGGAAGGGAATATCAATCAGGGCACTCGTACCTGATTGTTACTCAGTGACGTCTGGAAGGTTGTGTGTTGCCACTGGAAGGTCAGGATCAGCCTCAGTTGCAAAGCCCGCATGGTTGAACAGCATGCCAACACACACTTCCATAGTTCACACCAATAATAGCTGCTTCAATACAGTTCAGGAGAGTGAGTGGCACCTGTGGCATCACACTCCAGCAGCAGACACAGAAAGGGAGAAAATTGGTGAAGAAAAAAAGTGGTCCCATCTAACCAGTTTTGAAGAGTGTTATATATAATCCTTGTCCAATAAAATATCCACCGTGCTCATCCGTGGAATTGGTGAAGTTCTATATGGAATGACTCCCTACGGAGAAGGAATAATCAGAATGCTGGCTGAATATCCATGTGGCTTAAAACCATAACAAAAATGCTAAAGGGATAAGAATTGTCACACGTAATGTGCTAATTATCAAATTACCTATCAATAATGGCCACAGGTTATTTAGCCACCCCCACCCCGTCTAAATTCTTTGATTTGCAAAAGGGTTTGTGAGTAGCAAATCCGAGTGTGTCGTGGATTAGTTGCTGCACCTCTACATAGATGTTGACTTCACAGAAATATGCACAGAGATCGACATCTGAGCGGAGTTAGGTCAACCATGGGAAATCTGGCAAGTTGCATTTTTGTACAGATCTCTTGACCTATATAGCTCTATTCAACAATCAGCCCTGTAGTTGTTCCTCTTCCTGTGGAGGAGTGCTAGTCTTTACTTTGCAAATTCCTTCAGTTTAATGATTGAATTTTGCTCATTGTGGAAATAGCAACCCCCCCCCCACCACCCCCCACGCTGGAACATTCCTGAGCGCTGTCCTCAGGCAAGGTTAAACACACTACTTTTTGAGAGTGAAACATGCCCATGTCATGAGGTGAAGAATACAGCTTCTGTACAATAGCCGACAATAGAAACAGATTTCCAAATTTGAATTGATTCTTATACATCTACTGAAAAATTCAATAGCATTGTTATAGGCTTATCATTCGCTTAAGCAGCATAAACACAAATTGTTGTGGGATAGACAGTGATAAACTGTTTGAGGAAGGGATAGCGAGGAAATGTTTAGTGCTTGTGTACTTCAGACCCATAGATTGACTTTGAACATATATAGACAGAAGCTATGTTAAAGAAATCAAACTTTGTTACAGGCTTCTTTTGGCAAACATACTGACAAAATTACTCATTTTAAAACTTCAGGATCCAGTGCATTCGAGAAACTAACTCCAATGACAATAATGGAATAATAATAATAATAATCCAACAATGGAAGAAAAATATTATAAAATTACATTTTAGTCTCTTGGAACTTTTCCAATTACAAAATATTAGACTGTCAAATCTCATCTCTAGAAACAGGGTGCAAAACTGCATTGATTTGGCACATCGGAAGGTAAGTGCTTTCAGTGAAACAGGTGGTGTTATCCAGAATTAGCTTTGTTTCCTCTTCTGCCATTTCACAGATGTGCTCTTTTTCAGTGGCTCCAATCTCAGATCTGTATGTAGTTTCTCATGTCTCTGTGTGATGCTGATCTAAGCCGGATGAGGCTGTGGGGGAGACCTGTATGGATTTTTTTAGCTGAATGTAGCTCCAATGCAGCTGGTCTACTTCAGCTTTGTGTCGGGATCGTGTTTCATTCAGTTCTCTCAGCAAGTGCTCATTTGTGGATACAAGCGTCCTGGAATTAGACAGCAATTTGGTCATATAATCATGTTTTTAAAAATAAATGCATTGGTAATCAACATCTCTCAGAAACCGCAAAACAGATTTCTCAGTAATTATATCAAGGAAAGCACTGTCTTAACAAACATTCTCCAATAGTTATCTACTTTTTTTAAAAAAAGATATAAGTGCCAGGATAGTTGTACTGTTCCTCCATACATTTCTGTGTTAAATTTAAGTCTCAAAAATACCTGTTATTGTACGGTTGGCCTAGGAACATGAAAACAGAGAACTTGCAGGATACTAGCCCACACTACCATGTGTGGTGTGATTGTGTGATACTGTATTATTATGCCAGGTTGCTTGGAGACAGCAAACAATATGTTTTTTTTATAATACAATCAAATCCACATCACTGCATTCCTGTTATCAGTACATTCCTGTAATAAAAATGCCTGCTAAATTCACATTGGCCCCTTATATTGCATGTACTGTTGTATTTAATCCTATATACAAGAATGGATACATGCGCTGTGAAGATTCTGACATATTGCTTCAAACGATTTCACTGGACATTTAACATAACTTGCACCTTCATCCTTAAATCTGTGGTTGGTAATAGTTATTTAAATTGGCCACTACCAGGCATAATGTATGTTTCTCAGCATCTGGGATTAAAGGAAATATGTACAATATCTGTGTTTTTGTCTACTATGACTGCAGATTAGTACTGTACTGTAAACTGGATAATACAGTCCACAATTATGATCTGTGGCTTTGTTTTTTTGCCCCTTTTCCTCGTGCTACCTATTCCTTAACTGAGAAGATGACCTCTCGCAAGCCACAACTAACATTCAACCATAACAACACCAAATTGCATTTGTATAGCACTTTTCACAGCAGGAGGACGTCCCAAGGCGCTATAAATAGCTGCTGGAACAATACTCTTACATTTTAAATCTCATGGACTTTGACTTTAGATTGAAATAATTGCTAAAGCTTCAAAAAATTACACTGTAAGGAATGTGTTTCAAATTACTTTAAGCATATATATTGTATTGGACTAAGGCATTACTGTGGTGTACTCAATTAACATGGTTATGTAATTTACCTGCATTATATGGTTCTTTTCTTAGCTCTGAACATTGAGTAAAGTTCTTTATCACTTTATTTCTGTCTAGATAAGGCATGGTTAACTATTCAAAAAACTTAGCAAGTTGTTGAAAGAGTAACGAGGGGAGGAGTTTTATTGTATTCCCCTGACAACTCATGTTTACCTAGAGTTTATAGCTGTTACTATAACAATCAATTATTTGTAGACTGCTGACACTCTCCCTTATGGTGGAAAGAGAGGAATCTGAAACCTGAAATACTGGGCAGGCAAGAGGTTGGAAGGACATCTGCAGTAGCTGGGAATTTAGCACTAGAATTCTGCATTTACTGTAGAAAGTCTATCGACCAAAGACAGGAATATGCATTGCTGCTTTCTAAAGACCAAAAGGTATTTTAATGGATTAGAAATACATTATTTATTACTCAAATTATGTATTACACTCAAATTATTTATTGGTTCAGATCATACCTCTCACACCACCTCCACTTCATCTCCACAAACTGCTTCTCCTCTAGCCCCGCAACGTCTCGTGCAGTGTTCCTCAGAGCTCTAGCCTTGGTCCCCTCCTCTTCAATACCTCTATGCTCCCTCTTGGTAACATGGTCTGCAGACATGGGGTCAACTTCCATATGTATGCGGATGACACCCAACTGTACCTCTCTGCCTCCACCCTTGACTCCAGGACCACTGCTGTCCTGACAGAATGTCCGTCAGACATCAAGTCCTGGATGAGAGCCAACTTTCTTCAGTTGCACGTCAACAAGACCGAGGCTCTCCAGATTGGTTCCCATCAGCACCTCCACACCTCAGGCGCTGACACCATCACCATCCATGGTTGCACACTTCACCTTGCTAAGCCAGTCCGGAACCTTGGGGTCTTGGTTGACCCTCAACTATCCTTTCTATCCCACATCTATGCCATGACCTGCTCTGCCTTCCCCCACCTCCGCAACATCGCGCGGCTCTGCCACTGTCTCACACCGCAGGCTGCCGAAACCCTTATGCCTGCCTTCATTACATCGAGGCTTGACGATGCAAACTCTTTGCTTCTTGGCCTCCCCAACTCCTCCCTCCATAGGCTGCAGATCATCCAGAACTTGTAGCCGGTGTCCTCTCCCGCACCAGGCTTCTTGATCCTATCCCCATCCTTGCCCAACTCCACTGGCTTCCCATCACACAGAGGATACAGTTTAAGATCCTGGTCCTCACCCTCAAAGTCCTCCATGGTCTTGCTCCCCTCTACCTCTGCGAACTCTACACTAATCAGATCATCTAGATAATTCAATTCCTCTATTTTAAGAAATTCCCTGTGGAGCTGCTAGTCATTTCTTTCATTAAGAAATCAAGTTGACACATTACGAATGGATTTAAATTTCAGCAATTTAATGTGGGTCAGACCAATTAGGAATCGTAAAACAACCACCACCACCCAGTCTCTGCCAATTATTTGCTGATCATTGCATTTTAAAACAATGACTAATGTGTGTTTGAACACTTCTAAAATAAGTGCCAGGAGGGAGTGGTAAGCATTATGTGAGATACTCCAGGCTTGTTAACTGAATTACAGGAACCAAGGTCTCTCCAGAACTTTGACACAGGATCACTTGTCTCTTTTTTAAACTGATTGGATTAACTAATGGACTAAATAATAATAATTCTTGCGCTTGATATAGCGCTTTTCACGGCTTCCAGATGTCTCAAAGCGCTTCACAAAATATACTGTAAAGTGAACTGACTGTATATTTTGTGGGTGAAATGCAGCAGCCAATTGCGCACAGCAGTGTCCCACAGCGGAGGATTGAGTGAACAAATGTTTTTTTTTGGAAGGGATTATTACTCCCAATTGACTAACAACCAAATTTCTACTTACTGCTAAGTAAACAGATGCATGTGGAGAAAGAAACTTGCCCAATATTTCGCCCTTCCCAGGAATCAAACCCAGGTCCTCTCTCTTGCAGGGGAGTGCTCTAACCACTGAGCTACAGAACTCCACACGGATTGGGAGATGGGTGCTTTACTTATTTATTGTGACAAAATATGTTTAAAACTCTGTCTAAGTTTAAAAATCTTGATGCACATTGGATTACAAAGTGTTTTGTTGCAATCCAATGATGGGTGTCAGGATGGGCATGGAAGCTTCAGTTTATTACATACTTACTCCCTTTGGGTTAGCAAATAATGCGGCAGTAGGTAGGGATAAAATTATGTGGTGGGTGCACAGGTGAACACTACATCAAATAAAACAAACCAGCTTCCCCATGAGTGGTGATGGTCTGAGTTTACTGCAGTAATACCCTGGCTGGCATTACTGAGGCAACATTACCTAACAAGGATGCAACTTATGCTACAAAAACAGAGAGAGCTGGGAACACTCAGCAGGTCAGGCCCTTTTGTCTGACGAAGGGTCGTGGACCCGAAACGTTGACTCACTTTCCTTTCTCCATAGATGCTGCCTGACCTGCTGAGTTTTCCCAGCTCTTTCTGTTTTTGTTTCGGATTCCAGCATCTGCAGTATTTTGTGTTTTATTGCAACTTATGCTACACCTGATCCCAAAACGCCACTATCAGTAGTTATTGGCTTTGAGGTTGGAATGTGACAAATTGGAAGTAGTTAAACTTGACCTCCCCCACTCACAGCCAAAACAAAATCCAAGCACATTAATTTCTGTATTTGTAACCTTCATATCAATTAAGCAAAGAACAGGGTGGAACAGGCTTGAAAGAAATGTGTAGTGAATGCAGACTTTTAGTAAGGCAAGCTCTTCCAGCATATAGGTGGATAAATTCAATGACTGCAATTGCATACAGAACTTTTGTTTTGATCAGCCTGGGTTTCCCTTTGAGGGGGTGGGGGGAGAGTTTTAAATTTAAATGTGTCCATAAACTTAAATTGTTTGCAGTTTTAATATGTATTCACTTATATGTAGAAAAAGTACCCTTCAGACAATGAAATACACCACAGCAAAAAAAAAGATCTCCTTTTTCTACTTACAAATGGGACAGAACGTAACCCTTTATTTAAACTGAGTTTCTTTTCATCATTCATTCATAATAATTTTTTCATACTTGTACAATAGTATTTAATGATTTTAGCTCTCCGAGTCTTGCATTGCAATTCTGATGAAGATTCACACCCAAAATATTAACCTAATTTTCTGTTTTGTAACCCGACATGCATATTCAACATATTCTGCTTTGTAGCAGAATTGAAAAGCAACCTAAAGTAAACTCCGAATAACCCAGCCCTGGGTTAACTCAACACAACCACTTAATTCCTCATGCTATCAATATCCTGTCCGCTTCCCATATAAGCAAATAATAAGGGGTAATCTCTCTACTCGCCAATTCGCTTAACACGTAATTCATTGCATTGTGGAAATTCTTACAATGTAAAATTGATCGGAAAAATTGTTCAACTATAAGATGGCGTCTTGTATTCCAGAAGCCTCTTGCCTTATCCTGTGGCTGGTGCAGGCACTCGGCGGAGGTCGGGCATGCGTGGTCGGATGCATTGCAGAGGCCTCTGGTCTATTGGAGGGCCTCCCGCCATATTGTGTGACTAGTACGGGCACTCACGGAGGTTGGGCCTGCATGCACAGTTGCGGTGCCTACGGTGAGGGGGTCACACGATATGGTGGGACTCAGTGAACGAGAGAGAGCATTACCAGGGGGGGCTTGAGAGCATAAGGACCAACGGCTAACTTGTCACATCAGATAATTCGTCACTGGGGTTTTCCCTTGGGGTGAGGAGTTATCCGGAGTTTACTGTAGTTTAATAACCCGTGCATCGCCTGCGAACACTGGATTTCCTGCTACCTGTGGCTCTCCTGCAGCATCTGAGTCAGTTCTTGGATTTGGCTGCAACACTGCAGCTTCTCCTTCAGATTCTCAATTTCACTTTGCAGATTTTGGTTGTGGCTCTGTAACTCTACATATAATAAACAGTATGAGTTTCACAAAGAAAACTGAACCCATAGGCGAATCTACAAATGCTTTACCTATTTATCAATATTCTGTAGTCAGTTACTTCTATAACTCATCAGGTAAAATAGAGTTTAACGCATTCTCCTACACCAAAAGGTGCTATATAAATGCAAATTGTTGTAATTGTTGAATGTTAATATTACCAATTAATTTTGCATCAGACTGATTATTAAGGTTTACATGATGTGCTTGTGTGATATCATTGTAAGGCAGGTTGGGTGATACAATGCTCAGGTGATAATTTGTACTGGGCTTTGTTGCTGAGGTGTAGTCACAGCCAACGGAGAACAGATATAAAACCATATTGCCCAATCAACAATAACTTGCATTTATATAGTGCCCTTCATGCAGGATAGTATGTCAGTGTGCTCAAGGTGAGTATCGTGGAGTCCTGTAGCTCAGTGGTTAGAGCACTCGCTTTGCAAGCGAGAGACCTGAGTTCAATTCCAGGCAGGTCAGGGCGAAACCTTGGGCAAGTTTCCTTACTCCACACAGAGCCTAATAATAATCCCTCCAAAAACCAAAAACAGTAATAAATTGGTCATTTTCAATTTACGACTGTTTGTGGGACATTGCTGTGCGCAATTGGCTGCCGCGTTTGCCCACAAATATACAGTCAATTCACTTTACAGTGTGTTCTGTGAAGCGCTTTGGGACGTCCTCCTAACGTGAAAAGCGCTTTATCAAATGCAAGGATTGTTATTATTATTATCTAACATTTTCAGACTTTCCCAAAAAGAAATAGGAAGGGGAGTAAGCAGCAAGTGGTAAATAGCAGGGGAGTAAATAGCAGGGGAATTCACTTGTCTCCATCTCATTGGGTTTAATGTCAGAGGAGATCCAGAAACTGGCCATCCTAGAGACAGTCTTTGTACATCTGTCATCAGTTGATGTATAAACAAAGAATTCCAGTTGCAGGTGCCCGATTAGCTCATTAATAGGAACAAAATAGATTAGCCATGCCAGCGGGCTGCCGACATGTATTACTTTTGTGATATTTAGGAAGTCGGAGCTATAATTCAGATGTTGTATAGTATTGGGGAAGGTTGCTCATCAAGCATATTTGGTTTCACAAATTTGTGGTGATTTCACTATACACTGTATCCCAACAGTGTACACAGTGACTCAGAACTCAGGTCTAAGGAGATATTAGGTCAGAGCCCAGTTCTTGAGTCAACATGACGTACATGGTATTCCGTGCATGAAAACACAGTTTGTGATGTGAAACAATTTTTCCAGTGGCTAAGTGCCTGTAACACTACTGATTTCCTAACCTCAATGTGAACCCTCTGATAAAAATAAATACTTTACCTATCACAATTAATTCACAAGAATGGGTATGAGTGAATGTGCTTGGTCAGCAGCCTTCTCCAAACCTTTGGTGTTAAAGGGCAGAATTTGACTTTAATGCAGATCAAACTAGTAATTTATTTCCTAAAACTCACCTATCAGTGAAGGGCATGATATGCCTGTACAATAATGCATCCATTCATAAAACAGAAGGTTTCCATTGCCAAAAGGCACACATGATAGGATTGCACAGAACACAACAATGAAATAGTGTAGAACACACCTTCGAGATGTTGGTTAGAGGAATTGGAAACATTCAGCACTTTGTGTTCCAGTTTTATCACATGGTTCTGTAAAATATTTTTCTCTTCCAAAGTTCTGGTTAAACGATCCCTTAGCATTTCCTATGAAAGTAGAATCAAGGCTAGTTAGAGCCTGCAGTGCAACCTTAGACAAATCACATCAAGGAAAACACAACCAGTAAGAACGTACTTTACAAACAGGCTCTGGAATCTATTGTAGTACATAGTTCTCGGTTGATAAACAATGGTGCATAAATTAAACACAATTGTCTATTTATTATTAATAATACCTCAATGATTGTGATACTCGTGCTGGTAAACTGTCAGACCATCTTCCTGACCAGAAGTTATGAGCTAGGACAACTATGCTGTTCAATGGTGTTGCCATTGAAGGAGTCAGCTCTGCTGCCCTTTTCTGCTCCTTATGCTTTCACTGCTTGTAGATGGAAAGTGATAAATCTTATGGAATATCCTGCCACCTAGTGCTTTAAATGCAAACTCTACTGAATCAATCAACAAGTTTCTGATTCAACAGAGTACAGGATTTGATTGAAAAATTCAACCCACTTGATTCAAGACCTTCTAAATCATTCACATCACTTATTGTTCCATGTAAGAGGCAACAAAAACAACACTGAATGAGATGTTTCCCTCATCAGTGGCTCTGCCAAATGCTGATCTAGCATTACTTAATGCTGAATTAAAGACCTGGGGTTGAAATAAACACATGTCATGTAGGAATAATATAAATATATCACATATCGCATGTGTGTCAGTCTGATTCAGTGGTAGCATTCTCACTTCTGAGGCACAAGGTTTTGAATTCAAGCCCCATGTCAAGACTTGTAATCACAAAGTCTAAGTTGACACTCCAATGGTTGCATTGTTGGAGGTACCATCCTTCCAATGAGATGTTAACTGAGGTCCCATCTGCCCTTTTGGGTGGATGTTAAAGATCCCATGGTACTATGCAAAAAGAGAAGGGAGTTTCTCCTGGGGTCCTGGCCAGCAATCACACAGTAAAATTGGTCACTCATTCCATGGATGTTTGTGGGATATTGCTGTGTGTAAGCTGACTGCTGTGTTCGTCCACAAAATACACAGTCAAACCACCTTACAATTTATCCTGTGAATGCTTTGAGACCTCTCAACAATGTGATACAGTGCTATATAAAATGCAAAGATTATTTCTGGATTAATATAAACCATCAATTAGAGGGGATATTAATCTATTCAATCTGGGCTGTATTCAAACTTAGTCCTAGAGGGAAAAGGACTCCCAAGATGTTATTCCTGATATTCTTGGAAACTCATGAGAAAGGACAGCATGTTACGCCCACAAAATACCTCCAGCAATGCAACGCCCAATCCACTTTGCAGTATATTGTGTGAAGCGCTTTGAGATGTCTAGAAGATGTGATAAGGCGCTATATCAGATGCAAGGTAAGACACAGATTTGTGTGTACAACTTCCCACATGATGAGCTTTTGGTCTGTGCATTGAAGTTGTGAGGAAACACTGAGGAGAGACGAGGTGCAATCAACAACAACTTGCATTTATATAGCTCCCTTAACGCGGGTTAGTGTCCCAGAGCACTTCACAGTCAAACAGGAGGGCAGAAATTTCCATGCTCTTTGCTTACAGTACAGCATTGGTGGAGAGCTGAGGGTAGATTTCAGACAGCTTACTCTCTCACCTGAGGGTTGATATATTGAGGCCTGGACAGAGAAAAGCAACAAAAATACCAAAGAATTTACCAAGGATAAAATAGACAGACTGAGGGAGTGCAGCATAATCTGCAAGTCAGAAAAAGCAAATATCCAACTCACAACTAAATGGTTAAAGCCTTGGTCGCAAAAAAGGAAACTTCTCCTTAGAACATACAAAATTGTTCTTGGTTCTTCTATCTCTGAGTCGAAACCCCAGCTAGTTGCAATTGCTGAGTTTGGTATTACTTTGTCGAGCAGCTTCTGGATGTACCTGCAGATGTGTCAAGAATGGCTTCCTAGTATTGGCGTACACATACACAGTTGCTACACTTCCACAGTAAAATCTTGGTGAAGTGATAAAGATGCTACATCAAATGCAAGGATAATTATTATCTTATTATTAGAATAAATGATCTATCACAAGTTGGGGATCTATTCTTCAATTTATTAACAAGATGAAATAAGATTTACTTCATGCTAAAAGTATACTATCCCTGTTAATCAGATTTTTTTCAAGTGTGAACGAGTTAATGAGTGGCTTGCTCTTACCACGTCTTTTTCAGCTTCCATGAATTGCACTCTCAGCTTTTGTAGGTTCTCACTATGATGTTGCTCCTGGTGGGAAAGACTTGCTTGCAAAGCCTCATTCTTCTCTTTTAAATGGCTCACTTGTTCTTGCAATTTAAAGTCACTTTTTGGTTCACTTTGTGGCTGTAACCCATCCAGCATGGCGGACCAAATAATCCTTGCCTGGTCTGTGAAACAAATAGAAACAAGGTAAAAAAAAAGATAGCATGTATATTACTTGTATAGCTAGATGCAAAATACAAATACTTTTATTCAGGAACTGCTGCATAAATTTTTTAAAAATCATAATTATATGGTCAAAGTCACTAATGACATTCTGAACATCTGTGATCAGGGCTCCCTCTGCCTCCTTGTCCTCCTTGACGTCTCTGCTGCCTTCGACACTGTCGACCACTCCATCCTCATACACCGCCTCTCCTCCTTACTTAATCTTCGCGGACCTGCCTTTGCCTGGTTCGATTCCTATCTCTCTCACCGTCTCCACTTTGTTGCCTCTAATGGTTACTCCTCCAGCCTCCGCACTGTCACGTCTGGCATCCCCCAGGGCTCTGTCCTTGGCCCTCTCCTCTTTAATATCTACATGCTCCTCCTTGGTGAAACCATCTGCAGACATGGGGTCAACTTCCACATGTATGCAGATGACACCCAACTCTATCTTTCTGCCTCCACCCTCAACTCCAGGACCACTGCTGTCCTGACAGACTGCCTGTCGGACATCAAGTCCTGGATGAGGGTAAACTTCCTACAGTTGAATATGAACAAGACTGAGGCCCTCCTGATTGGCTCGCGCCAGAGCCTCTGCACCTCAGGCTCTGTTAGCATCAACCTCCATGGTTGCTCACTACAACTCACCAGCCGGTCAGGAGCCTCGGTGTCTTGTTCGACCCTCAACTGTCTTTTCTTCCCCACATTGAAGCCATGACCCGCTCTGCCTTCCCTCACCTCCGTAACATCGCCCGACTCCGGCACTACCTCATCCCTCAGGCCACTGAAACTCTTGTTCATGCCTTCATCACCTCCAGCCTCGACTATGCAAACGCTCTGCTTGTCGGCCTTCCCAACTTCTCCCTCCACAGGCTACCCCACTTACCCTCCTCGCCCTTCTCCCCCCTAACCCCAGCTCGGGTCTGAAATGCTGTACGCTATCCAGCGCCTTGGGACGTCCTCCCAACATGAAAGGCGCTATACAAATGTAATCTTGTTGTTGTTGTTGATAATAATCTTTGTATTTGATACAGTGCCTTGTCACATTATCGAGAAGGCTCAAAGTGCTCCACAGGATTTATTGTGAACTGTTGTGACTGTATTTGTAGATGTATCAGCAATGATGTTACGTTTCAGAATGACATATTTTTTTTAAGGCGCTGTCACTGGGAACAAAAAATACTTAATTAGTGTAAACCTTAAAAGCTGAATCACAAATTCTCCTGGAATGTTTCAATACACCATCAGATCGCTGCTGATGTAAGCAGTTTGAGGGATAGAGATAGAGGAAACCTGGTCAAAATTAATAAGCCTTCAGTGAGACACGAGATTTAATGCCTTTCACGTAGTCAGGTGATGCCAAAGCACTGGAGGGTTGAGTGGGTTGGATTCTGGAGAGGTGGAGCCAAGGGAGGTGGAGGTGTAAGATAAGCGAAGGCACGGTAATAGAGTTCGATCTTGAGACAGTCCTTGAAGGAGACAAGGGATGGGTGGTCGAAGGGATAGTTTTTTAAGGTGGGGTGTAAAAACAGATGAAGAGGGGTGATATGGAGGGGTAGAGGGAGGTCCAGAGGTTAGGAGCGAAGTATCTGAAATCTCGGCTCCTGGTGATGGTGTAGAAAGGGCAGGGGATGCATGGCAAACCTGGGAGGCAGGTAGTGGTGATGAGCAGATGAGTGAGGGAGGAGATCAGAGAGATAGGGAGGTGCTTGGGCTCAGAGGGGTTTATCGGAGAGTGTCAGGCCTTCAAATCAATCTACTGGGAGACGGGGACACAGTGGAACCCGCAGACGACCACACACAAAATGAATAATAAGTTTTTTTGGTTCACTAAAGAAATCTTTGCTACAGTACTCACTTAGAAATGTTTCATTGCAATGAAGAGATTTAAATCCATTCCAGTATTTGTCAACTAGGTCTAGAAAATGTTCCATGAGAGTTGGATTGAGGGTTGCATTTGTATCAGCTGAAACCTCACTGGTTGCTGGATGAACTGCCTGTAAATGGATATTAGTTTAAAAAGTTGAAAATTTATATTATTTTCCTTATTTCAGTTAATACACAGAGAATGCAACATACAATAGTATTTTGGTGATGTGGACTTTTTCTATAAAGACTACCACAAATTACTGCATCTGTGCCAGAATTCCATGTTCAAATATGTATTTGTTGCATTAATAGGCAAAACACCTACACCAAATAAAATGGTCAGTGTTTACATGCATACATCATTGAATTATACAGCATTCAAGGTGTACTAAAAGGGCAAATCAACTCTGATATATAATTTTTTTTAACTCATAATCCACTCTATCCTACATGTTGTGGAAAAAAGCCCCTTAAATATTAAGGTTCTCTTCAAGGGTGCAGTATTGGTACAGTATTATATCGGTCATAAGCTTATTCAGTGATGAACAGATTTCTTAGTTCAAGTTGTTAAAGAAGTGGTTTTAGGTAGGTTACAAATTACTAACTACTAATAGATCACTTAACCTCTTTACACTGTATGTGTTGCTGCAATGAATGGACTGTATTTTGGAACAGATGTGACAGTGAACTTTGTGACACTCGCTCTCACATTATACTGGTATGAAAACACCCCTTCCCCCACCTCATAATGGTTGCTTTTATGGATTATAAACCCAACAAAACAAAGCAAGGGTTTGATCGCAGGGAATGTTTTGTTTCTTTCATTTACACTGACTTACAATGTGTGTATTCAGTCTAGCTAATTCTGATCGTTCTGTCATTCTGATCATTTGGAGAAGATTCTCCATACAGTGTAAATTACAATGAACGCAGAATTTCAGCATCACAATACATCAGGTTAAACCAGATAAACGACAATAACTTTCAGCAATATTGGGCTAAATAAGAAGTCTATATCTGGAGCACTTAATAAAAGTAAAACCAAGAAACCAGTACATCAACCAAGCGTTCCCTACTTAACTACAAATGGAAACAATCTGAACACCATACGAAAACAATGTAAATGTTAAAATTTGAATTGTTTTTACATTAAAGCAATTTATAATGATAACGCTATGGCAAAAAGTTTTGTTAGTAACCTTGACAATTAAGAACAAGATGCTAGTCCCTTTCATGGTAATGTTGCTGCTATAATCTTGGTGAGGTATAATGCCAGTTTGTATGCCTCAGGCAAAAAAAAAAATTAATTGTACAGTTCGAAGCACTCACCTCTCTGGTTCTGTCATGTGTGCCACTAAAGTGATCGTGACTAAAAGTCCTTTGAGGGAGAAATTGCTTTTTGAGATTTTGATCTTCTGATTTATCCTGTCGGGAGCTTGCTGTACAGACAATAACAGGCTGTTTAGATTGAATGGCTGAAGAGGAATTGTGGGGTTGCAAGGATGGTTGGCCATTCATCTCCTGATTCTGCCCATTAATCTCAGCTGCCGACAAAGTACCTACATAAGGAAAAGGTACTGCTGATTTGTGATGCTGATGTCCTTGTGAGGAGGGATATGTAGTTTTTGGTAGAACAGTCTCTGATGAGCCTGTGGAAAATACCAGACACGGTTGGCATACATTACTGACAATCCAAGAGTAGGTCAGACAACATAAAAGCCATTAAGCTGCTGTAATATTTGCTGCAGCTGAGTATGATGCGAGTGCACAAATGGTAAAATATGAGCACACTTTTCAAAGTTGGGCTTTTCCTTTCCATGAAATAATTCCTTCCTCCACCATCTTCTATTAATTGCTCAAGGCTCAAACGAAGTTACAACAACACCTCTTATCAACATGTTCAAACAAGCAAAGCTGCTGTTAGTCCAATAGCTGTGAAGGGCAGAAAATTAGAGACGAGTTTCTTTCAAGATTATTTTTCTTTCTCTCATTATTACCATCAACTTTGATTAAATAGTACATTACTTGAAAGGTCTCTCATGGCAACACATTCAAGAGGAAAACATTCAAATCATTTAGAGTTCCTGAATCTCATAATTGTTTATGTAGCAATGTTCTGGCACTAACATAAAAGTACCATCCAAAGCAATATATTCTGGAAAAATAAAGTCTTACAGCATTGGATAATCAACAGCAGGTTTCATTTACAAAAAGAAAAACAATTTATATTGAACGTTACAGCACAGACACAGGCCCTTTGACCCACGTAGTTCTAAAAATGCTTCTCCACAAATATTTTACAAAATTAAAACAAGAAGTACCATATTAATTGGCTCATGAAAAGAAATAAAGAAGCACTGTATTTTAAATAGTGATTTAAACTAGAACTTTAGTGCCTCTGTTTAGATCAGGAAAATCAGTTCTGCAGAGACATTACTCCGAGGATAGAGAGGGAGACAATTTCATCTCAACCTAAAAACCAGTAATTTATTTTTAAAAAACAGCTATTTTAGTAGCCATTTCTACTGAGTTAGTTTTAATACATATATAAGAACGAGTAGACTGGTGTAACATTTTTATACATATCAGTAAACGCTTAACAAATGGAACCATTGTCAACCATCTTAATTTTCACTGTTTGAATTCTAATTTCGTACTCTATGTGCACAAAAATCAGAAAATAACAAATAATTATTTTCATTGGCAGTCAGGTTTACTTATTTGCCAGATTTGATGGGTTTGGAGATACTGTAAAAGCAGAAATTAATCACCTCCACATGCTTAAAAAAACATGACCTACTAAGCTGTTAATGTATAAAGGACAGGAAAGACAGTAACCTATTGATATTTTTCTAACCTGGACATTTTGATCTCTGATTTAACATTGTTTTAAGAAATATCGAAATGCTTTAATGTCAGAAACCATAAGCAAATCATTTTAGAGAAAGGTTCACAGTCCAGATCTAAGATATGCACATAAATTGTGCATTCAATGTATGTCTTGTGCAACTAGATTCATTCTCGACTTGAACAAATCTGTTGTAAAACCCAAACTTGAAATTTTCAAGATCAGGTTTTTAATGCTAAATGCATGGTATGTGAGATAGGTTTCTTATTTCCTCACTCCTACTCTCAAATACATTCACTTTGCATAAATTGAAGATAGAAAGACAACGTCTTGTGCTAACAAGCAACAGGAGGAGGCTATTCAGTTTTTGGAGCCTGTTATTCTATTAGGTTACAACATATTACAACATTTAATGCTATTTCCATGACCTTTCTGCATACACCTTACTAGTCATACTTTCTAAGTACTCTCCCTTTATCTTTATCTCTTCATCTCTCTTTTTAACATCCCAATTAATTCTGCATTTACAACTTTCTGGGGCATTGCATCACACATTCTCATAAGCTTTTGTGTGAAGAAATAGTTTCTCATTTCACTACTAACAACAACAACTTGCCTTCATGCAGGGAAGTGTCCCAGAACACTTGACAATGGCGGAGCACGATGCTGAGCCGGGGGAAGTGGCTGTAGGCGTTACCTGAAGATGGGGAAGGAAGGGGCAAGGCGGAGGGATAGATGAAAAATGTCCCAGAGTCTTGGGGCACAGTGGCTGAAAGCGTGGCCATCTATGGTTGAATGAAGGGCACGAGGGATATGCAGGAGGTCGGAACCAGTCGAGCAGAGGCAGCGGGTAGTGGGTTGGACGGGTAAGCAGGTCGGAGAAGTAGGGAGGTGCCAGGGCATGAAGGCATTTGAAAGTGAGCCTGAGGATCTGGAAATCAATCCATTTGGCGATAGGGAGCCAGTGGAACCTGACTAGAACTGGTGTGATGGGGTTATGGAGTTTAGTATACGTAATAATATGGAGTCCTGTAGCTCAGTGGTTAGAGCACTCGCTTTGCAAGCGAGAGACCTGAGTTCAATTCCAGGCAGAGGGCGAAACCTTGGGCAAGTTTCCTTACTCCACAGAGCCTAATAATAATCCCTCCAAAACCAAAAACAATAATAAATTGGTCATTTTTAATCTATGACTGTTTGTGGGACATTGCTGTGCGCAATTGGCTGCCGCGTTCGCCCACAAATATAGTCAATTCACTTTACAGTGTGTTCTGTGCAGCGCTTTGGGACGTCCTCCCGACGTGAAAAGTGCTATATCAAAATGCAAGGATTATTATTATTATTATTATTATAATGTGGGCGGCAGAATTTTGAATCAACTGAATTTTGTGGATGGTGGAGCTGGGGAGACCGGCGAGGAATGCATTTGAATAATTGAGGCAGGAGGTGATGAATGCGTTGAGCTCTTATTTAAGATTGTCAGGTGGAAAAAAAACACTCCTCTTATAGGCAGCTGCATTATAATCGCCCTGATCATTGGCAAAAACATTAGCCGTTTCTCACCCAGGGAAAGCCATGTACATCACTCGGAACTGCAGTCCTCATCTCCCACCGGAGATTGCCCCTGAGTTCCCCCCTAAGTTCTTGTAAACTGTTTCAACCCTTGTTTTGGGTCTCTCTACCAGAACGAAAAGTCAGCCCCTACCTAAGCTTGTTAATTCCATTACTTTAAACATCTCAATCACATCACCTGATAACTCCCTTAGCTTTAGTGAAGAGAACTCAGCTGCTCATCATAGCTAGATCTTTTTATTCATCCAAGGTATTAATTTGATAACTCATTGATGGGTGCCCTCCAAGGAGTGTAATATCCTTTCTAAGTTGGGTGCCCAAAACTGAACACAATGTTCCAAATGAGGTCTGACCATTACATTGGGCTGGTGAATATTTTGGGTGTGAATGAACTTGATGAGCTAAATTGTCTTTACTCATTCCACATTTGCTTACATTCTTGTGTGAAGTGTTGGCGAACTCTCAGTGCCCAGTGTACTATCTGAGCGTGAGTTATTGCCTTTAGGAGAGAACAGGGAAAAAGTGGAGGGTTGGGGACTTTATAGCTGCAGTGTTATTTCTGGAACAGATATAGAAAGTAATTCTTGTTCAGTAAACATTCACATATCTGACATACTCAAGGCTGGAGCGATTTTAGCTATGCAAATATTTTGGATAATTGAGTGTTTATTGCGCAATTTGCAAATTTAGTTTACTTTTGCTTATAAACATAGTTTATATTGAATTCAATCATCATCAATTAAAATGCTACATAGGACATTTCCCTTGACTCAACAATCTCTGGAGCTGTGAACCACAATAGTTGATATACAGTACTGGTCAGTGATTGTTTTGAATAAATAAACATTTTAAATAAGTGGAATTCCACTGAAAGTCTTGAAAGAACAGCACTACTTATTATTATAGTCACAGATTACTTAATCGTGTTATCTGTCACATAATTATCTGGTCTAGAAGCTTTCAACAGAGAACTAATACAGTACCAAGACATTTATTATGATGCAGCAACCTGAAGCAATCTAACAAATAGGTTTTGCAAATAAACTTTGAGCATAATAATTAATTTCTCTTGTTTTTAATAATCTTCCTAATTCTTCTCAATTCTCTCCCTTTTCTTTCTGCGTTTTCCTACCTTCCTCCTAGCACTCCTTTTTAATTTTCCTTCCCTGGTAAAACAACCACCTGACAAGTTACAAGTGCCACTAAGGCGGTGTCAGTTTTCTCTCACCCCCCCACCCCCACTGGAAAAAAACAAGAGAATACTATGCAAGTGGAGATATCTCTATTGCTTTATTGAAATGAAAGGCACTTTGGTTTTACTGGGGCCCTTTTCTTCAAGCTAAAACTGCTGGTACATCTGAACACTGTTGCATTCTCTTCTTTCGTTGGAGAATGATCAAAAATAATACAAATTGACTGCAAAATGGAGAAATACATGCAAGATTGTGATCTCATGGATTGAACGACTGCCAAATGCGCAATCATTAGGCCTGCCTTATGAACCAACACTTCTGCGTCCATCAGAAGAATCATAAAGTATATAAATATTGGTTAATAATTCTTCCCTTCATTCTCTCTCTTCCGAAAGCTGTAGGAATCACAGGAGAGGCTTACGAAATTCTGTGCTTCCAAGCGATCGACACAATGAGAATATTTGGATTTTCTGAAGTGCATAATTTGATCAGAATTCATAAACGCTTCATACAATATGTTACTTTGAAATGTAGTGACAGTTGCTTAAGGCAAATTAGGCAGCTCATCTGTATGTCATCAACATCCCTCAAACAATGGACAAAATTAATATGTATTGTTAACTTTGGATGAGGCAGGAATATTGGTCAGGTCACCAACTCTGCTGATGGATCAGAATTCAAAACAAGATACTTAACATTCTCTTGAACCATCAGATCAAGTGATAGATCTTTAGTCTAATATACAAAGGAAAGTGGAATAGGTGGGGAACCGCTCACCAATAGCTCAATTTCATGAAAGTTATTGTGTAGAGTGAAACTGGGCCACACAGACTTGAGAGTCACAGGTTTGATGTCTCTGTCCTGAGCAAACAGCTGGGGAAATGGTCGGGGTCTACAGTTCCCTTGATGCAACATGAAAAGAGAAGGGAGTACCTCAACAACAACAAATTACATTTGTGGAGGACGTCCCTAGGTACCTCCTGCTATCCTGGCCAACAATCCTCCAGATTAAATGCTCAATCTTTGTGTAAAAAAGGCTGCCATGTTTTCAGAGAAAAAACAGTCACTACCCTCAAGACTAATTGGTATGAAGCACCTTGAGCTGTTCAATTTACAAAGCACAAAAATATACAGTCAATTCATTTGACAGTATATTCTGTGAAGCGCCTTGAGATGTCTCGAAGACGTGATAAGGCGGTATATCAAATGCAAGTATTATTATTAGTAGTATTATTATATGAAGAACTATAAAATGGCAAGTGCTTTCTATTTTATTTTAAAGTTGGTTTTGGTTTCCCTGGAATAGGGGGAAAAAATCAGTTTGGGTTCCCATTCCCGATTGTTATTTGTTGACCACTGCTGGAAGGGCAAGTTTGTGTTAGCCATATGAGGGCGGAAATGGGCTTGACTGCCATACCTAATATTCACATAGCTTACTGATGATCTGAACTTGTACATAAAGAATATCTACTTGGGCGAGTTGTTGTAGAATGGCTGGCACGCATGGAGCCCAATAGAGCATGTTTTCAAGAGAGCAGGAGAGAAAATTAGAGGGGAAATCCCAAGAGAAGAAAAATAATAATAATAAATTGGTCGCTTCAATCCAAGACTGTTTGTGGGACACTGTTGTACGCAATTGGGTGCCGCGTATCGCCCACAAAATATACTTGACGGTATATTCTGTGTAACGCTTTGTAACGTCTCAAAGACTTGATAAGGCGCTATATCAAATAAAAGGATTATTATTAAAAATGGCACAAAAATTCCTACACTAGCACCACCACTGGAGAATCAGCACAGCACATTTCAGCTTCCTGGTGTCTGTACATTGAAATGCAGACAAATTCCAGCAGGTGGTGCTAATTTATCAGGTTTTCACAGTATCTTTTCCTCCAACAACACTTCGATCAAAACTAATTCTGTTCTGAAAATTAGGAATATAAACAATAATTAAAGTACTCATACTTTGTTTATAAAGACGAAAATTGGTCTTTAATGAATATTCACTATTGTACAAACGTGGAGTCCTGTGGCTCAGTGGTTAGAGCACTCGCTTTGCAAGCGAGAGACCTGAGTTCAATTCCAGGCAGGTCAGGGCGAAACCTTGGGCAAGTTTCCTTACTCCACACAGAGCCTAATAATAATCCCTCCAAAAAAAAACAACAATAAATGGGTCATTTTCAATCTACGACTGTTTGTGGGACATTGCTGTGCACAATTGGCTGCCGCGTTCGCCCACAAATATACAGTCAATTCACTTTACAGTGTGTTCTGTGAAGCGCTTTGGGACGTCCTCCCGACGTGAAAAGCGCTATATCAAATGCAAGGGTTATTATTATTGTTAATGTACAAAAATTTGATCAGGTTTCCATTATTGGGTGTTTCTAGTGTTAGCGAGATTATCATATTATCATATTAACGAGATTATCATAGCATATTATCATATTAGTGAGATTAACATATTCGCGAGATTATCATAGCTGACCAGACACCTTTCTGCTGCAGGATGCATGCCCAGGAAGCTGATCAGTTAGTGTCAAATGTGACAGACATTTTTATTTTGTAGACCAGTTATAATATGGGGTCCGAATTTTATTGACCCAAAGCACTGCGTTACACTAGGGGTCATAGGGGATCTGCAGTACTCCAGGGCACTGCTATTGACAGACCAGCCAGCTTGGCTCATCTGCAGGTCTTGGACAGGCAGACAAGTCACTGGGAACAGGAATTCTTCCCTTCCCTTCCCAGTTAACCATGTTGGACAAGCAGGAAGAAGCTTGCCAGGCAGTGCTGCTCTCAATGGCAAACTATGTAATCTTTGGTTAAACTCCAGCAGTACCCCAATGCACATTCTGCAGTCCCCAAACCTTGGATTTCATCAACCTGCGCCGAATACTTTCCAGAATTAGGTAAGCAGTGTGTGTCGCTCTGGGTGAGCATGTGCATTCTATTCCAGACACAGACATTTCCATGTGTTGGTGTCATACATACATGTAACTCACAGTCTAAAATGCACAGTGTAAGCCTGGTGATAGGTTTCGCACGTGTTAGACACCCGGTTAGAAGGCTAACAAAAATGGGTTCAGACTGTTGATAATCGGAAAATAAAGCAACTCAGGGTTAGGAAAAAGGGAAAGGAAAATGGATTAAAACATCTGCTCTGATCTAATGTAATGGAGGCCTACGGGGGTGGGGGGGGGGGGTGTTGGGGTAGAGGAGTGTGTGTGATTCGGGGAGAGGTAACCATGTCGGAGAGGGAGGAAGGTACTGCGCAAGTCATTTGTAAGTGATTTTAGAGGTCTTGAAATCAATCCTTTCTGCATCGATCCAGAGGGTGGGGGCAAAGAGCCTGAAGGCCTGACCGCCAAAGGTGGGGTGGGCGGGTGACATGGAGCAGGCCGGAGCCCACTGAGTGGAGGGAGAGGACAGGTCGACATGGAGTTAGCAGGTCAGAGGTAGGGAGCAGCAAGGCCGTGGAGGGCTTTGAAGGCGAGAGCGAGGATTTTGAACTCTGTCCTCTAGGACATGGGGAACCAGTGACGCGGGGCGAGGGTGGGGGGGATAGGGGTCCAGGAGCATGTGCAGGAGAGGACACAAGCTGTAGAGTTCTGAATCATCTGCAGCTTGTGGAGGAAGAGTTGGGAAGGTCGACAAGCAGGGAGTCAGCATGGCCGAGTCTGGATATGGATGAGGGTCTCAGCAGTGGGGGAAGGCAGAGCAGGTCATGGCACAGATGTAGGGTAGGAAGGATAGTTGAGGGTCAAACAAGATGCCAAGGTTACTGACTGGTTCAGTGAGGTGGAGTGTACATCCTTGGATGGTGATGCTGTCAGCGCTTGAGTTGTGGAGTCAGTGATGGGAATAAATAAGAAAGTTAGCTCTCATCGAGGACTTGATGTAACTTTGTGTATTAAACCAATATAATAATAATCATAATAATCCTTGCACTTCATATAACACCTTATCACGTCGTTGAGATGTTTCAAAGCTCTTCACAGAATATACTGCAAAGTGGATTGTCTGTGTATTTTGTGGGTGAAATAGGGCAGCCAATTGCACACAGCATTGTCCCACAAATAGTTGTGGATTGAGTGACAAATTTATTTATTTATTTTTTTGGAGGGATTATTACGACTGGAAAGCAATCCGCCAATCAACGAAGAACTGGGTTCCAACTTACTGCTGGATAACAAAGGCATGTGGAGTAAGGAAACTTGCCTAAGGTTTTGCCCCTCCCAAGAATTGAACCATGGTCCTCTCGTTTGCGAGGCGAGCCCACTAAATACTTTGCTACGGGACTCCATTACAGGACGCTGGCTCCCGCACTACCTATTACAGGAAGCAGCAGGTATCAGCAGCTTAGACAGTGGCAATATGTAACAGAAATGCTATGAACTACTGTCTCTTTTTGTATAATCTAATTCTGCTCATATGTTCTGACATTTCAATACTGTTACCTGGATGTGGTGTGAAGTGTGCATAAGATGTGATCCTGTGATAGGCCTCAGCTTCATCCTGAAATTTTAAATTGGGATCTGCTGGAGTGAGATCTCGGGGCATTTCGTCAGCAAACGTTACTCTAATTCCATCCTTTCCTCGGTGAAGGGCCTCTGTTCCAGAAGAGAGTGGAGAGGAAGAACTGGGTGGTGAGTGATACTCTGGCCGACAAGAAAATAAGAGTCTTTCAGGTACAGCCATGTAGACTGTATTGAAATTCAATGACTAAATAAGTTTTTGCAACCATCCTTGTACAGGTTTATTCATGCAAAAAGTTGTAATTGATCCTTGGCACATTAAACCTGTTTTCTTAAATTCATAACTCAAAATACTGAATACAATTACAGAATACATATAGGGGTAATAAAATATAAAAGCAGAATTCATACTAAACTGATATAAATCAGACCGCAGCTGTATCTAGTATTAGTCAGCCCACTTTAGGAAATATGCTAAGGTGATTCAGGTGTTGTAGAGGAGATTTTCTAAGATAATACAGAGATGAATGGTTTGGCCTATGAGTGGAGACTGGAGAAATTGGGAGTATTTCTGCTGGAAGAAAGAAGGTTGAGGGATGACCTGATAGAGGTCTTTAAAATTCTGAGGGGTTTTGATAGTCAATAGGGAGAAATTATTTCCACTGGTTGGTAACTAGAGGGAGATAGTCAGTCAACGAGCTAATGGGGAGGTTAGCAGAATTTTTTTCAGACACAGAGCAGTTAGGATATGAGATGCCCTGCCAGGAGTGATGGCTGAAGCAGAACCCATATTGGCCTTTAGGTGGAACTAGACAAATACCTTAGCTGCAGGGGTATGGGGAATCGGCAGTAAATGAGAATGAAAGGATTGCTCTTGAGCGAGCCAGCACAGACATGATGGGCAAATGGCCTTTTGCTGTGCCAGAAATTTCTATGGTTCTAATTTGAAAGCAAACAATGACATTTTGCCATGAATTCCCAATTGCTGTTTTGTCAAATAACACAAACATTTTTTAGAGCTGAGCTTTGCTGTTTAGGCTCCTGCACACGGCATCTGAACTTCCTTTTAGACAATGCAAACCAAAACAGTCAGGGCAAGCCAATTACAACTGATGACTGTACTTTTGTTCAATGTGATAATCATCACTGATTATAATATAAAATCTCATTGTACATTTCCCCTCCCTTTTAGTGGGCTGTAACCGTGAGATAACTATATGTAAACTCTTCCATTAAAAATAAACAATCCTCTTTACTCAGGGTTGGTTATTGTATTTCACTGATTACCAGCCACATCTCACTCTGAAGTACTCAACCAACATCATTGTTGGGTGGATTGGAGCAGAAATGACATCCTCTTCTTGATACATACGTGCAGAGAATTATTGATGCAAAACACAAGGAAATACATTGCATAAAATTGCCACAGTTATACTGATTGTTCATAAGTCAGTAAATTTATGGGAAAGAATATCTTATTCTCTTCTAAAGACCTATTTGATTGTACCTTTGGTCACCTCCTCCCTCTACTTCCTTCCTAGCTCATGCTCCCCTTTTGTGAAGTTCTTCCAAATGTTCTCCTTACATGAAAGACACTTTATTACTGCACAAAACCCACAATCTTCCTTCTCAGAAGCAATGATGCTGCCAATCAAGTCAGGCTGATAATTATTCACTATTCATTGCTGAAACATGAGACAAGAATATGTTACTGTAAATTAACACATCTACATATCCAAACCATTCCTAAACATAGTGTGATTTGAAAATCTATATGAAACTCCAGCCATGCTTTTTCCCAGATTCTGCACTCCCACTATTTGGCCTGCCCTTTACTTCAAACAACTGAGTAGGTGCTGTACAGATGCTTGCTACAAAGTATGTCTGCCCTGGCCATAGACCTTTCCTTTCCTCAATTCCTTGTTTCCCACCTCTCATTCAAAATTTGTTCAGAATTGGGTCACGAAACCTGATCTACTGCATCTACTCAGTGAAATTCCTCTGGTCTTCGGTATTTCAGTTAACCTGCCCTGTGATCTTTTTAAACAAGCGTTGCTTCTTAATAATCATCTTTACAATTTACACAACTTCCTGGTATTACCAAACCACAGAGTGAATGCTCAATGGGTCAATTTTGCACCTCCATTATCTAATCAAAACTTGCTGGTAGAGATAAATGACTATAATTGTTGTGCATTTTCCAGTGACTCACAGTGCCTGCTCTCCGGTAACTCATCTAAAGTGGCATTCTTCATGCTTAACCATAGAAAAGTGGCACTCATTATGTGGCCGTACACTAAGTGCATTCCTTATATGTCTTATTTGGCATTCTCAAACTAACCGCAGCAATTCCCCCCAATTTCCCAATTCCGACTGCATTCAAACCAAATTCTTGCCATCACTTAAAAAGGGTCTTATCCAGTGACAAGACTGAAATACCAGGTAGGTGGAAATTATCTGCATTCTTTTTCAGACACCCAAATATATAGAAGTTAAGTCAGTTGCAGATCTAATGTAAATAGTTTGATTTGATTATAACAATAACCCTTGCATTTGAAATAGCACCTTTATAATTTATTATGCGGAGTCCTGTAGCTCAGTGGTTAGAGCACTCGCTTTGCAAGTGAGAGACCTGAGTTCAATTCCAGACAGGGCGAAACCTTGGGCAAGTTTCCTTACTCCACAGAGCCTAATAATAATCCCTCCAAAAAACAAAAACAATAATAAATTGGTCATTTTCAATCTACGACTGTTTGCTGGACATTGCTGTGCGCAATTGGCTGCCGCGTTCGCCCACATATATACAGTCAATTCACTTTACAGTGTGTTCTGTGAAGCGCTTTGGGACGTCCTCCCGACGTGAAAGGCGCTGTATCAAAATGCAAGGATTATTATTTATTATTATGAAGTGAATTACCATTTTCATTTGAAGGATTGTTGACCAGGACATTGAGGGAAACTCCCTTCATTGTACAAATAAATTTCTACCCGTTTATGTTGATATCGCAGATTTTGTCAACGTAAGGAGGTTTCAACATAAGCAAACAAACCGAGTGCTGTCAGTCACTGGGAGCCGAGGTGAGTGCCGGGAGTTGTAGTTCCAGGCGGACACTAAGCACCGTGCTCTGCCACTACAGGGGAACAAGGGTTGTGCTGCACACCCCAAAGCTCAAATGGAGCATTTCAGTGCTTTGGAAAGCCAGACACACCATGGGGAGGCAAGGGTTAAAACAACAAGCTTGTCGACATACGTATTAAGAGCACAATGTACTTAAGGCTGTTAGAGACTTGAAAAGATTTGTCAATATAAGCATTTTGAAATTCATGCTGACATCGCCATACGCAGTATGTTTAATGTGTTCCTATATAGGGAAGGACCCATGAAGTCAACGTTTTGTCAAAGGGATGTCATTATAGATAGTAATCCTTGCATTTCATAGTGACTTCTCACATCTTCGAGACGTCTCAAAGCACTTCACAGAAAATTCGGTAAAGTGAATTGAGTGTATATTTTGTGGGCGAAACAGGTTTGAGATAAGTGGGTTGCACTGTAGTGACATGGGATCATTTATGTCCAACTAACACTGTATTGAGGGAATGCATGTACAATAGTGATGTCTAATTTGTCACCTGAGTCTGATATATGATACTTCTAATGATCTTGTCTTAAGATCAATGCATTCTGTAGATGTGAATGTGGACATTTGACATTGGGAGGGGAGGTTCCAGGCACGAAGAAGCAGACAGACTAGACTGAGGAATGGACTAACTGCCCTCGAGAGCTTAGTGGAACAAGACTTTATTGAAGGTGACAGAAATGATCAACTTTCATGAAATAACCCAATGGAATGCAGGTGGAGTGGGAGAGCAGAGGAAAGAAAAACAGGCAGAGTTTTGAACTAAAGGAACTGGGAAGGCAAGATCAGAGAAAAGAACACCTGGTGTCAAATCTTACCACTGACAATCTTTTTCACTTGAAGCCCTCCCCAAATTCATTGCTGTGGCTTGAACTTAGTTATATCCATATATATATATATACACACACACACATGCAAACAAACGAACAACAGACTCTGGACCACAGTTTTAAAAAATATTTGTCCAACAGTCCAAAATCCAATTGGTTCAACAATGATGTACCTGGGAACTAACTTTCCTAATCAGAATCCAAACATTCTGTACAATATTATCTTTTGTCTTAATCTAAAATGTTGTTTAGTTTGAAGTGAATTGGGATTTTAAACTTTGCCGAACTATTGGACTATTATCTTCAAATACCTGAGCTTGCTGCATGCTTGCCATACTTTAGTTGCAATTTCGTGTCAGATATGTATCATTCCACAGTAATGATTCATTAACGCCTGCAACAATTTCTTCAACTGTAAAATAGCCTCTCTTTTGACCAGCTTCCCTGTACTGAGCAATGGTTCACTGTGTCCATCTGATAACTCTTAAAGGCTATCTCCAATTTCTGCACATTCCACTACCCCAACCACAGCAAATCTCAATAACAGCTACTTAGAATACTACAATAAAAGACAATAATTACAAGACTCTCACGACATTTTAATAAGAAAGTTTGACCGACTCTTTCTGAAAATCAATTGCAGTATTCGGCTGCGTTGCTTCCTCATCAACCTGCACAATACAAAGCATCGGGTTTAGGCTTCTGAATTTTTAAGCACAATGTCAATTATAGAAAGACAACCGAAGAAAAAAGTGTAACTTATCATTAAATTAACTTTTTAGAAGCCAAGCAAATTACGCTTCAGAAATCTTTAAAAGTGAATTGCTCTATGTGAGAATATGCATCTGGCTTTCTGAAATGCTCTGCTAGATACTTTTCTCCACTTACTCAGCTTAATTTGGAAGTCCAACCCCCATTCCCCCACCCTTTGGAACTCCATCCCACATTCCCTTCGCCAGCTCCCTCCCTTGCCTCCTTCAAGGCACGTCTCAAGACCCTCCTCTTCCACCGTGCCTTTGGCCAGCTTTTTATCCTTGCTGCCCTCCACCCTCCCTGATCCAACAACCGCCCCACCCCCACTCGGGTCCAAATCCTTGACTGTCCAGCGCCTTGGGACATGAAAGGCGCTATGCAAATGTAATTTTGTATTGTATTTATTTGAAAGGAG